GCCAGACCAACCTTGGAGGTAGTCTCTTGGTGAAGTTGAGCCTTCAGAAGTCTTAGACCCAAAGACCCTAAGAATCGTGGGTCAGGTGTTGAGGAGCTAACATGGCTGTGGCTCAAAAACCCGGTACCAAAATGGCTTGCCCTGGTAAGCGGAAACATGGACCAAATCCTGCGTACCCCCCCCCCCCCCTGTTTAATTTTGAGCCCCACCCACGTGGAAGCTGCCCCCTGGAAAGAACGCTTGATTCACAGGCCGGCCTTTTGGGAGCCTTCCCGTAGGCTCTCGCATGGGTATGGGTCAAACATTTTCACCAGGATCTGGGCCGCAGGTTTTGGCCCACAGCCACATCGAATCTGTGAAGGGAAGGTGCCATCAAGTCGCTGAGCTGAGGATCGGGAACCTCATCACGTTCAACCTCTACTGGAACATGCTGAATGCATTCTGGCGGCAAGAATCCGGTTAGGATAGCATCTAGGTCCCCCAGCTAGGTGCCAACTTTTACCCCGTTTCTTTTTTGGGGAGTAGGTTCCCCTACTAGAATAGAGCACAGACAAAAGTTGGTACCCTTATTCTAACCCCTCTACTGGAGGACTAGGTATGGCTGAGTTGTGTGGCCTGGCTTCGCTGGAACAAAACACTGAGTGAGCCTTTTGAAAGGAACAGGATCTTTCAGGTATCTTCTTGTAGTATTCATGTGGGATAGCTGCGGGTGTGAGCTTGCTCGGTCCGTTTTCTCCAGCGATTCAGTAGGTCATCGTCAAGTTGCTGGAGGTGCAGAGATTATACACCACTTCTACAAGGTGTCCATGCTTGCTTAAAACCGATGGGTGGCCTTTCTTACTGACCAAAACGCATATGCCGCTTTACGTCTTGTTTGAAGACTCCTTCTTTGGCTTTCCTTTGAGATTTGCGGTAAGCCTCGAAGCTTTCAGCGCCGTACGGGTAAGGATCGCGCACTGGTCCAGTGCTTCAGTCCAAGAAGCCCCCAACATAAGTTGAGGATACCCTAAACCTTTCGACGAGAGTTCCACAAAGAGGGATCCGAGGTATTCTCAGCTTGGGTTTGGAGGGTTCTTGGATTCCGTCTGGTTGGCTACCAGTTGCGTGATTCGGGCTTCGTCCAGCAAGCCAAACTTCCTGCCTGGACAACTGCCAAAAGAAGCCTTTGAGCATACCTTGAACACCCCTGTGGATGGCCACGAAATCATGAAGACCACTTTGACACCATGGCTGAAACCACGGGATTCATATCATAGGGTTTCTGAACGGTGGTGCGATTTCTGGATGTCGCAACCATCCACCTTATTTCAAGGAAGCCTCCAATGGAAGCAGAAACCGGAGCAAAGACACCTCCGACCACCCCCAGCACTTCATGGATGGTTGTCCTTTTGGTTTGCCTTTGAATCGACATCCCAAGTAATTGCCAAGAAACGTTATGGTTTCAACGATCACCCCCCGTCGGAAGAACGCAAAAAAAAAGACGAGCCTCCGGCGGATGTTTGCCTTTTTATCCTCCAGCCCCTCCCCCAGCCCCCAGCACCCCCCCCATCCCCCCAAGCATCCCCCATCCCCCAGCCCATCCCCCCCCCCATCCTCTACGGATTTTTGCCTTTTCCGGACCCGGCCCGAGTCCTCCATCACGGGGCTGAACGGCATGCTCAACACCCTGGTCAAGGCCGCCTCCGCGGCTCAGCGGGTGCCCGGGCCCCAGCGCCCCAGCCGGCGGGACTCGGGAGCTTTCGTCGCGGAGTCGGCAAGGAGGGTCCGAAAGGGGCGGCTCGCGCGTCTTTTTTTCTGCTAATTTGGACTCCCGAAGAAATAAATACATTAAACAACACAATAAAAAGGGATTTGGTTTTCGACCCCCCCAAAAAAAACACAAATCAGAAACAATGAGAACCATTAGAAAGGGAGTTCGATTTTCTCCATTCTTTCCCTTATTAAAGAACACAAACACACACAAAAGGGGGTGCGCTCAAAAAAAAGAACCGACATAACAAAAGCAAGTAAAAAGGGATTTCGGTTTTCTCCATTTTTGGTTTCCCTTCAAACAAGCCGCAAAAGGCGTGCGCTCAAAAACAGAGGACACCCCGCAAATGAGGAATTGCCCTTCTGGCTTCTGGGGTCTCGGATCCCAAAGTGGTATTTGTATTTCGGGGCAGACTGGGTTCTGGATCAGAATCTGTAGAAAGTTGCTTCTGGGCGAACCCAGATTCGGGACTATTTTCTTCTGGACGGTTTTGGCGTATATAGGCTTTTATACAATGGCTATATTTCGTGGTTGGATATCCCATTTGACCACCAGTGGTCCGGGGGTAGTGGAAACCATCTTCCACCGCGTTGAGAAACTCACCAACCGGCACCCCACATTTCAGGAACCTGACCCTCCCTCCGGCTTCTCGCGCGACGAGTCGCGCGAAGTCGAGTCTCGGCTTGGCGCGCCGTCGCGCGCGTGCCCTCGGAGGTTCGAGATCATCGACCTGCAGCCGGACATCCCCTCGGAGGAGGGGCACCTGGGCGTGTCCGGCGAGGGGCCCTGCAGCCTCGCCTTCGAGGCTGGCGCTTTGCCGCTCGCGCGCGCTTGCGCTGGCAAAAAAAAGGATTGGGGCGTGGGAGTGGCGATTTTTGCCACGGCGCCCCTTGGGTTCTTTTTGGTAAAGGGCGGCAAGATGGGCGTGGTATTGGCTATTTTGATAGTATTTCTTGGTTTGGTTCCGCAAAGGGCGACAGACGGAAACCAGCCATTTTGAGGGTCCCCTAGTCTTGAGACCGACTCACATGCAACTCCCAAAGAGTGGTTTGTCACGTGGGCCAAAGTAACAACTATACTTAAAGAGCACGCGCAGCTTTGGGGGGTTGAACATGAGCCCGTTTTCTTGAAGTGCGGCTTTCATCATAGCAAGTTGCGATGTAGTTTTGCGACCGAACAACTTCTTTTTTCGCGGGGTGGTTGGGAAAACCTGATGAGAAGAGGTGGATTCGAGAATCCGCTGGACTCGCGAGGATTGGATTGCTGTCCCTGTGACACCACCAGACGGATTGGTCTTTTCTTGGTGGTTCCGTGCCATCCGGTTCTTTAGTTCTTTTAGGTTTTCTGGGTTCAGTGGTATCCATTTCACCCACTGGTCGGCTTTTCAACATGGACAGCCCGGATGCCCGGATGAACCTCCGAAATCGAGCTTCAGTCTAGGGCCGACGTCGAGGGGAGTTCCCAGGGCTGTCCCGTGTGTTTGATCGCGGCGAAGCACTTGCTGGTTCGATAGGCAGGGAATGAGAATTGGGAATGACCCATACCTAGAGCCTCCACAACCCTTAAACAAAACTGGGTCCATGACCCCTAATTTGGGGGAATGCCCCACCATTTTTTACGGGTCATGGAGACTCCAGGTAGAAACAATGCCCGAGGTCTCGGGTGTCCTTTTTGGACGCCCCTTCCAGTTCAACTACCCCCAAAACGAAACTGCCAACACCCGCAAGGTGCGGGGGGGGGGGGGGGGGGCGTTTTCTCGTTGTTTTTTTGGTTCTTCCCCTTTTTTTTTTCTTCTCCGAGTCCAGGGGGTGAGATTCTTCTACCCCATGCGTCCGGACACCATGGTCTTGGATGGCCTCGACTTCAGCGTAGGCGCGGTGGCGCGGCGGCGCGCGGTGGCGCGCGGGGCACCGCGTTTTGGCAAGAGGTGATCATGGGCTTTGACAGGCAGCGATTTTTTTGGCGGGTTCGTCAAAGCCCATGGGATCCCATGTTTGGGCTAGGTGCAAAACCCATGTTGGAACCTATTTTAGTGGTTGGATTGGGTCCCGTTCACTGGGGGTACTTGCTTTGGATTTTGAAGAGCCCATGGTTTTCACTCCGGCCTACCTTTAGTTCCCTGGGTGACTCCAAAAGCGCGGCCCGCGGCCCAGGATCAAGAACCTCGATCACTGTCGGAAGGCACATGGACGAACTCCTGCCCTTCAATGAAATGCCCACCTTACATTGGTTGAACTCTCCCCTTGCCGCAGCCCCAGGGTTGGGACCTCCCAGCCCAAACCCTAAACCTGCACCGAAATTCGAGCCAGGACCCACCCTCCAACCTCAACCCGAGAGCCTTCACCCCTCCGACTCCTACCCGAAAACGCGAGAAACCCACTGACTTGCGATCGGTTCGATAAGCAGCTTGAAATGACCCCAAAAAGTTCCATCCCCAGTTTGGTTTAGGGAATCCCAAGCGGTTCATTCCCAAACCCTGGAGCACTGGCCAAACGACTGGGTCATTTTTCACTGAGCACCAGCCAGGTGCTGGCCAGACCGTAGCCATGGTGGGGCGCAGCGGGGCCGGCAAGCCGGGGGCCCCAGTTGAACAACCTGGGACGCGGGTTGTCAGTGACCGAAAAGGACCCCAGCCGCCCCCTCCAAGAAAGGGAACCCCAAGAGAATGGGAACCGAATTGCAAAGCCACAAAATGTATTTCTGAGCCGGACAAGATGGGTTTTTGAATCACCAGCTGAAAGCTGTGTTGTCCATACGCCCAGATAGGATCGGATTCCTTTGTCCGCAAACTCGCGAAATGTGGTTGTCCATTTCATTTAAGCAGTTGCCCGGGTACTTGTTTTGTTCGGGTCATCGGGGCTGTTCAAACCATCCTTCAGATAATGGAGCCACAAGTATCACAAGCCTTGAAGGTTCTGGACTTTAACGCCATTTCAGGAACCTCCACCAATCTGCACAGGGAAATCATATAATTTCAGGGTTTCTGAATGGTGGTGCGAGACTCGCGGATTTCCCCACCATCCACATCACTTCCTGGTTGATTTTTTTTTTTTATGGAACCCCAAAACTCTCAACCCACCCATTGTCGTCGTACCTGCCTTACCTGCCCCCCCTAAGGGGATTTTCCATAGATGGCCCTGAGTAATGTTAACCCCGGATTAATAACCCCCTGGTTGATTAATAGGGGGGTGTCCCCTTTTAGTGGGGATTCATCACTTTTGGAGGGGTTGTCACCCCCGTAATAATGGGACGGGTTCTACTTAGATCCTGGGTCAACATTTGGAAGCCTAGGAGCACGTTGGTGGGCCTGATGCTGCGCTTCTACGACCCCAAGGGCGGCCGAGTGCTGCTGAACGGCACGCCCCTCACGGAGTACAACCTGCGGCTCTACCGGCAGCCGGGGGGCCCGGAGAAGCATTGGGCGGCGGCGTGAGCTGTGTTTCAATGGCTTCAGCACTGGGGTCAATGGTTTGACATGGGTAATGGTTTGACATGGAGGGTAAAACAGTTGGTGCTAAGAACTGGTGGATACAGGGTAGGTTCCAAAAGCAGTTTAAAGAGCTGGACTGACTCCCCCTTAAACCGGGAAACAGGGCTTGAGAAACAGGGCGGCAAGCAGTTTTAAGTCAAGGATCGCATTGCTCAAGCCCAAGGTAAACTTGCACAGCCACACATTTTGAGGGGTCGTTTGGTGGGTTGCCGCGCTGGTGGTCGTGGAATCCCTTAGTTGTATTTCTTTGGCCCAACTTGGTGTCACCGGGGTCTTCATGTTTTGGGTGGGGCAGAATGGGGCATGTGCGGAAGCCGGAGGCAGGCAGGGGGGTGAAGCGATAAAGGGACTGGAGGGATGAGGGGGGTGTGGCCGATTTCTGATTGAAGCTGTTTGTGCATGAAGAAGAGGGAAAGCAGCAAACTGGGAACCGCCCTACTTCCGTACAGCCCTCAAGAAGGAGCCTTGGAAAACCGTGCTTGTCGAGGCGTATGCACGAGAAAGTCCCTCATGTGCAAAAGAGCCAATGATCGAGACCTTGTACTACCCGAACAGATGTCAGAACAAACCGTCCTCACGCATGTGAGACTGCTCAGCATGTGAGACTGCCCAGCTTGACCTGCCCCATTCTCATGCACATCCAGCAGTCTATGGTACATTCGGGAGATACCTTAGAAGACTCACTATCTTTTATTTTACAAGCGAGCTTGGTTTCTTTTTTGCATGTGTCAACAAGAGCTCCTCGTTTTAACAACTGACAGCAAGGTGATTCGGGCGGTCAGGTTTTGGCAAAGCGGTTCTGTCGTTTGCCTTCGGCTGGCTCTTTCGGTCTCTCGACATGGAGACGGCGGTGGTTTGACTTGTAGATCGTCAAAAAAGTCTGTTTCAGACCATCAGCAAGGCAAAGGCACGAACCTGAGCTTCATTTGTTTGCTGGCTCTTGCGTATCCTCGGGTGCGAGGATGGGTGGCAGTCTCACACAGGTGACTTCTGGCCACATGCTCTTGCGGATTTGGCGGTGTGTCCAAGATTTAACTTCCGACAGATCCAAAGCCCTAGCCCTGCGGTAGATTGCGGCGCGGCGTTATTGCTGGTTTGCTCCGGTTGGTTGTCACGGCCATTGGTCATGGCTGGCAATTTTAGCGAGACATGAAGCCACTAGAACTCTTTTGGTCCCCTGTGAGCAGTTAAGCCTATTGAAGACACCGGGCATTAGTGGGATCACTTCTACATCCAAGGACTTGTTGAAGACGAATCCCGAATCATAGTACAGACTTTTGGGCACGTGTCAAAATAAGGGGAACCCCCAACATCGATGGGTCGAAGCTCAGGAAGGTGGGTGTCGTCTCCCAGGACACACAGGCAAGCTTTGAGCGCTGGGTTCGCTGAAACCTTGCCAGACGCCAGTTGCCCATGTGGTGCGTGCTTTTGCTTGTTTGCTTGTTTGTTTGTTTGCTTGCTTGTTTTTTGTTTTTTGTTTTTGTTTGTTTGTTTGTTTGATTGTTTGTTTGTTTCTTTCTTTCTTTCTTTGTTCCGTCGTTTGTTTGTTTCTTGGTTTCTTGAATTATTCCTCTCTTCCTTCCTTTCCTTCCCTTCCCTTCCCTTCTCTTCCCTCCTTCCTTCCTTAGTTCCTTAGTTCCTTAGTTCCTCAGTTTCTTTCTTCCTTCCTTTGTTCTTTCTTTCTTTCTTTCTTTCTTTCTTTCTTTCTTTCTTTCTTTCATTGTTTCATTGTTTCATTGTTTCTTTGTTTGTGAGTGTGTGTGTGTGTGTGTGTGTGTGTTTGTGTGTTTCTTCAGGGTACCCTTTGGGGTGGCTTGGAAAAAGAAGCCCGAAGGAAACATGCCCCAACCGCTCTGAACCCCCCAAGAGAGGCTTCCTCCAAGGGTTCTTCAGCGTGTCGGTGGCATTGTCGACGGGTTGCCGGAGCTGGTTCGCCTCGGATCTCAACCCCTCTTAGGTTCTTGCCACCCCAAGGTGGGGCAGCGAAAAATCTTGGCCTCGGTGGGATTTATCGTGAGGGAGTCCTTTTGAAGCAGCTTAGAAGCCAACGTGTTGGGCGACTTTTAGGCATTCGCATGAGAAGCGAGCACCCCGGGGTCAGGTTGGCCAGTGTTTTCGTACACGCTTCGGCGCCGCTGTTCTTCCCAAGGCTCGCAAAGATTTCCCCCTTCAAGGGAGCCCGCTGGCGATGGTTTCAAGGGACCCCACCAGTAAATGGATCAACTCTTGAGGAGGAAGGGAGCCGGGGTAAGCCACCGAGCCAGGATTTCTGAATCCGAGCATCGGATTTTCTGTGTACCCCAGATGATTCGGCCGGGATTTTTCCCGCAGGGAAGCTCCTAACCTAAAGACTCCTTCATGGGAAAAGCCTTTTGTCACGGTTGCACTTCTCGCATTTGCTGTTTTGCTGTTGGTACCAGTTGCGGGGAGTTTACAGGAAGCCAACAAGAGAATTGCCCTTTTGTCGTACAATCCCCCAGATGGGGCTTCCCTGTTGGCTTGTTGCTTTAGTTTGTTGGTTTTCTTGGTTCTCTTCATTGGCGGGGAGCTGGAAAAAGCGTACTCCCAGCGGGGTAAAGATTGGTTTCGGCGTGGTGTTGTTTATCTGGCTTTGGGTTTGCAGGTTTCATTCCGATTTCTGAGGGGTGATCTGCGGGCAGCGGCAGAGCGCTCGAGCGCCGGTGAACGGGGGTCAACCACCCAACAGTTAGCCCAACAGCCTCAACAGCCAAAAGCAATACGACAATAATCGCACTTTTGGGTCAGGGTAAGATTGGTCTGCTTTTAGTGGCTTGATGTTTAAGCGGACACGCAAAGAGCACCTGGATAGTCACAGTGAGTCTTGACAAGGCCAGGGTTGTTGTGACTTCTTGCGGGCAAAGCATACCAGGTGTTACCAGGTTTGCAAGCTGCGTGACCGCACAGAGCCCCCGCCAAGCCGCGCCGTCGGCAGGTCTTCTGTCGCTCCATCCTGGAGAACCTCACCTATGGCCTCGAGCCAGGCCTTCCCGCGCTCGCGCTCGGGTGGTTGACACGGGGGTTGATCCAAAGGTCCGATGAACGAGGGATGGCTGTTGGTGGGGCAATCACCTGAATTTTTTTAAGATTGTTCCCATTATGTTGGACCATTTCCATGCTCATTTGGGGGCTTGCTTTTCCCCAGTCTGAACGGGCGAGCCTTTCTTTCAGTTTTGGACCAGGACCCGAGCTGGTGGCTTTCCTTTTGGCTTTAGCCAACCAAACAGGGGGTTCCCCCCGAGGTTTTTTCAGGGACACGGTACAAAAACAGACAACATTTTGATAAGGAACCGGCTGTTCACCTCAAGGGACGCAGATTGATAAACTCGTGGTGGACTACTTCGGGGGGGGGGGGGCCTCCTCACTGAGCAGGGGAGTTTTGGGTCAGGAGGCCTCACCTGACAGGTTGGCCATCCTGGCCAGGACATGTCTCCCATGACCCTCCCAATGATAAGTTATGGTAGAGACTTGGTAGCGCTACTCAAAACCTAGCTTTGCACCGAGGAGTGTACGACCAGAGGAGATCCTTTGCAAGAAGTTTTTGGGGAAGCGAGTTGACGAATCCAGGTCGACGATGTCAACTCCCGAACCTCAGGTACGGTCGCGGAGCTTTTTATTTTGTGGGAACCCAGCAAAAAAATCGCCTGGTTGATCAAGAGGGAAGAGAGGGGAGGTCGGGTTGTATGAGGCGAAGCTTCACTTGTTGCGGGACCTAATCAACCACCAGTTTGATTTTGGGTCGACATCAAAATTGCTTCTTTCGGCATTAGCTGAAGTCTGAAGTGGCTTTGAATCTGGATCGGCGTCAACTTCCTAACAGTTGGGCATTTGCAATTCAAGTCAGCTTGGCTTTGTCGAGTGCCCCTTGAGACCCTTTTGACTGATCTAGTTGACTAGGTCCCCCAGTAGTGCCAACTTTTACATATATTTTTTTGGTTGGGAAGGTTCCCCTGCTAAAATAGACTACAGAAAAAGGGTACCCTTATTCTAACCTCTCTACTGGAGGACCTAGTTGATCTACTTTGAACAACTGATTCTGTTTGCACCCTCCTTGAAATGTTGCCTCGCTTGAGCCGAGAACCCGCTTCCGACTTCGAACGCTGTGTCTCTGGCTCTTGTTTGCCTTTCGTTGCCCAAGGATGCAGAAAGGTGCTCCTGCACCTCCGCCGGGTGGTCTCCTTCAGTAGCCATTGGGTTCGACATCACCCCTTCCGAAACTCAAACATTTTTTCCAGTTTGCGGGGTGGTGTTTGAAGCCACCAGAAGAAAGGAGCCAAGTTGCAATTGCAAGATGTAGAGCGTCGACCTCGGATTCGATTCTGCCTATTTAATTGTAGGAAGGGTTAAACCAAATGTTGGGGGAACATTTTCGGCTCCCCGGTCAATCGATCGACTTTCGAAGGGGAAATCCAGGATTCACCTGTCCAAGGTAAAACCATTTTGGTCCATGGAGGTTGCGTATATATATATATATATATATATGGTCACCCCCCCCCATGAACTACATTTGCATTGCTCAGTTTATATAACCCTTACAACACACTGGTATTTACGGTGTTGTCTACATGTTTTGGAAGTACAACTGCAAGAAAATACCGGCCGGATTTCGGCCCTCAACCAATTGCATCTCAGCAGTAGAAAGTGCAAAAAACACTGAGTTGTTTAAGTTTTTTTGGCCGAGTGGTAAAACACCTCCATTTTTTCATGTTTTTTTTGTTTTTTGAGCTCCATAAGCTCAAACAACTAAAAACAACTCGAGGAAAACCAAAGAAAAACAAAAAGCCTCGAGAAAACCAAAAAACCAAAGCAGTCTTCCAAAACCAGCAAAGTCTTTGGTTTTTTTTTTTGTTTTTTGGTTTTCTCGAGTTTTTTTTGGTTTTCTTTGGTTTTCCTTGAGTTTTTTTGTTTTTTGAGCTCATGGAGCCCAAAAACCAAAAAACACAATGTCTTTTGTGGTTTTGGTGGGTAAGCACTGTGCACAAACCAAAAAAACACATGTGTTTTTTTGGTTTTTGGGCTCCATAAGCTCAAAAAACCCAAAAACAACTCGAGGAAAACCAAAGAAAACAAAAAAAAACCTCGAAAAAACCAAAAAACCAAAGCAGTCTTCCAAAACCAGCCAAAGTTTTTGGTTTTTTGGTTTTTTGGTTTTCTCGAGGTTCTTTTTGGTTTTCTTTGGTTTCTTCGAGTTTTTTTGTTTTTTTCTTGGTTTGTGGTGTGTTGGTCAGTCTATTTGAAGAGGAGGTGCCCTTGGACTCAGTACAGCAGCGCGCTCGGTTCTTTTCGCAGTCCAGCTTGCAGTGTCAGAAGCCTTTGGCTAATAGAGCAGACCACTCCACAGCAGGTGCGGGAGTTGCAACTTTTTGTTGCTTCCCGCCTGTTCCAGGCTTAATGCTTTCCACAATCTGTGGATCCACAAGCCATCCCTCCACAAACATGTCTTCATCTACATTGCAGAATGGAGAGTTCTCAGGGCCCCAAGAGTTTTGACAGACTACCTTGGAGTCTGAGCTGTTCCAATGAATAGCAGCCATGCTGTGAGTTGATGTGGAAGCTTCTCCATCCATTCGAGCCACCTTGCAGTGCTGTAGGCTACACATATTTCTTGGCCTAGCTTTCACAAACAGTGGTGCGGCAATGCACTCTATTGCAATGCACGGATGTATGTGGGCAAGTTCAAGCTGCTTCTCTTAACAATCCTTCGTCCCTTGCGCCTGGCTCATTCGTCACAGCCACGTCACTTCCTCATCACTTCCTCGTCACTTCCTCGTCACTTCCTCGTCACTTCCTCGTCACTTCCTCGTCACTTCCTCGTATCACTTCTGCATTACTTCGTCACTGCTTCATCACTTCCGCATCACTTCCTCATCACTTCCTCATCACTTCTTTATTACATCGTCACTACTTCATCACTTCCTCATCACTTCCTCATCACCTCCTCATCACTTCTGCATTACTTCGTCACTGCTTCATCACTTCCGCATCACTTCCTCATCACTTCCTCATCACTTCTTTATTACATCGTCACTACTTCATCACTTCCTCATCACTTCCTCATCACTTCCTCATCACCTCCTCATCACTTCTTCATTGCTTCGTCTCTGCTTCATCATTGCTCCCTCATGACTTGTTCACTTCTTGCTCAGAATATGGTTGACATGTCTTCACATTTCCTCAACATTTCCTCATCCAGATGCATTTGGTGTTATCTTTGGCACCTGGTGGATGCAGACACAGACCTCCGATGAACAAGAACAAGTTGGTGTTGGCAGACTTGACAAGTTCAGACGCAGATGAGCAGATGGATCAAAGACACATGCCCCAAATGTAGTGTTGGCAGACTTGACAAGTTCAGACGCAGATGAGCAGATGGATCAAAGACACATGCCCCAAATGTAGTTCATGGGGGGGGTGTGAGCATATATATATATATATATGTATATTAATATATTTCCAAGCCAAGCCCACGTTTTCGTTTGAAGACCGATTGGTCTTCTCGGCCCGGAGCGCTCGCCCCATTCTTCCCTCGTCTTTTTTCTTCTTCTTTTCCTTCCGGGTGAGTCGAAGCGCCATCTCGCCAGGGGAGGCGAAGATGGCGGACATCGAGCGGGCGGCGAAGGCGGCCAGCTGCCACGAGTTCATCCAGGAGTTGGAGGAGGGCTACCAGTCCATGATAGGCGGAGCTCGGGACGAGCGCTCGGGACGAGCGAGTGGGATGGACCAGTTCGGGAGATGGATCCGCGAGAAGGGAGGAGGAGTCTTCCGAAGAAAAGGGGGCCTCTCCAACCCTTTCTTTTTGGTTTATTTTTTTCTCGGGCGAAGGATTGGTGGCCTTTTTTTTGGGGTGCAAGAAGGGGGAGGCCAACATCTTGGGCCAGATTCCTTTGTTTCAACCAATTCTGGTTGCCAAGTCCTTACGGAACTGCGTTGGTTTTCATGCGTGGGTTGGTTATACATGCCTTGGTTGTCACGGCAAAGCGAACCCCCTTTTAGAGGGAAGACAAACGGATGTCACCAGCTAGCTGTAAGCATGGTTAAATCAAGTTATCAGGTATAGGTTCAGGAGTGGAGGCTTGCGACCCCTTGGCCCGTGTTGACCTTTAGGTTCGCCCTATGCCTAAGGATGATCTTACGCGTTTTCTGGGCATGTACTACTTTATATCTAATTCATTATAGTTGTATGCATTTTGCCTGCACCCAAGGCGGTGCTTGACTCAAGGCTTTTGTCCCCGGTCAATCTAAGCTGCCATCATATAATATTGGTGCAAAAGGCTGTGCTGGGCTGTCGGTACTGCGGTCGTGATCGGCCTGTTGCGTCAGGACAAGGACAAGGTTGGGGATTTGCCGCTTGATTTGCACTCTGCTCCTTCGCTTGCGCTTGTGCTCTGCGCTTGGTGCTGCTTTGCTTTCTCGCTGCGCTGCTGCTTGCGCTTGTTTACATGTTAAAACTGTGTGCCTTTGGGCTTGCTCTTGGGACTGGGGGTTTTATCGTTCTTTCTTGTTGGTGGGTTTGGGCCTGTTTAATCGTAAACGCGTCGCGTTGCCCGCCTCGGCCAGCATGCTCTTGGCTGGCTTTGAGTATCCCTTCTGGTATGCATGTAGCCGCATTATTTTTGTACACTGGGCATGTCGTCCGTCAAATCTCTCCTGCCAAGCGGCGCCGGACCACATCTCGGCGCAAAGAATACTGCCGGACTGTGGGTGATCGGCCACAAGGTTGCGGGATTTGCTGCTTTGTTTGCGCTCCACCGCTTTTTCTGCTTGCCCTGTGCGCTGCTTGGTGCTGCTTGCAGCCTCCTCGCTGCGCTGCCGCTTGGAACTGTGTACTTGTGAAAACTGGATACCCTTTTCGGCTTGTGTTGTGCTGGCCAAGGGTCGCTTTGCTCTTGGGACTGGGGGTTTTATCCGTCTCTTTCTTCTTGGTGGGTTTGGGCCTGTTTGGCTCCTCTCCCCCGAAACTCTGTTTCAAACCCGTTTGGGCTAAGCAATCAAAGGGAGGGGGACTTGCGTGGCACAAATGTTCGGGCACTTCTTCATTGAACCAACCTTTAAGGACACAAGGTGAAAAATATTGGGCCCCCACCGACCAGTTGGGGGTCGGGATGATCTTCTGTGCGCCAATTTTGATTGAGCTTCATTTCGGGTGATGTTTCATATGGGGCGATGTAACCCATATTCTTTGGTTGCGGTAAGCCATTTTGAAGTTAGAACTTTGAGGTTCAGGGAGCCTTCTTCTTACACTTTCAGGTAACTATTTGGAAAGGCCGCTGTTGGCCGAAGCCATTGTCATGTTTTTCGAGGTGTCGTCCGGTTCCCTTGGGTCCCACCCAACCAGGTGCGGTGAGATTCACTTAGGCTATGGCTCACTTCGTTTGTTAAGGGCAGCCCAGTTGGAAGTGGGATCTAGGTGAATTTTACTTCCAATTGGGTTGCCTATATGTGGTCATAACCTAAGTGTGTGCCATCTACAAAGACCCTGGAGGTGGTTGCGGGGGGGGAGGGGGGAGACCGGCATAAAGGCCCATTTGGACGCCCGTCCAAGTTGAGAAATCGTCAGGTCTCCCCCCCCCCACCCCCTCCCGCCCCGAACACAGGTGAGGGCGGCACTCGTCTCAGCGGGGGCCAGCGGCAACGCGTGGCCATCGCCCGGGCGCTGCTGCGGAAGCCCAAGCTGCTGCTGCTGGACGAGGCCCATGCTTCGCGCGGGGGAGAGCGACAGGGGAGGGGGGTTGGGTGGCTCAGGGCTCAGGGGTGGTGGAGAACCGTGATCAGCCCCACTGTGCTACAGGGGAATCCCCTCTTTGCATGGGGGGAAGAGTCTTTGGGAGGCCCTTTTTGGTCATTTCCCACAGCCTGCTCAGGACACCAACCCGGAAAGTCCCTGCTGCGAATGGTTGTGCGAAATTCGCTTCTCGCACCACCGTTCAGCAAATATATGACAGCCGAATCGAACCCTCCTACCTTTCAGCTGCCCCAAACCACCCCAGAGGTGGAGACACATGGCGATGGAGGCATGAGGCCATGGTTGCAACCATACCGTTTGTTGAATCCTCATTCTAGGGGGTTGTTAGGTGGTGCAGGATTTGGTCCAGCCACAGTAGGTTGTAACCCACTCATAAGTGTGGGGAGGCTCCCGGGGGTTGGGGTCTACGGGAGTGTTTGCGGGGCGGGTTTCGGGGAGGGGTGGGGTTCTTGAGGAAAGCTGGGGTTTGGGTAGGTTGGGGTCAGGCGGGGGTTTGGGCCAACATAGAGCCCAAAGGTCGCTTTTGGAGGAGCATGCCTGGTCCACATAAGCCCCCAACATCGGGCAAAAGGTCCTACTTGGGAAACTCTGGTGACCGATGACCAACACCCCAAACATTGGGTTCCACGCTAAGGTTGACCCCATCCCAAAGTGATGATTCCCCACATGTTACTCAAGGTGTACCCTATCAATACACCGTTGAGTGTACAGCTTCTAGCTTTCCAACAACCTCTCGATTGATGCGAATTCCTTTGTTTTGGCTAGTTTGAGGGTGTTCCTCAATAGGGAATCCACAAATCGTCCACCAACTTCCCAACTTGGCGAATCGATCGACCCAAGTCCACACTTCTTCGCGCGCAGGCGACCTCAGCCCTGGCGCCTGGGCACGGAAGTGTCAAGCGCGCGCGCACGCGGGAGGATTTGGGTCGAGTCCTGAACTTCAGCAATTTGGAGAGAAACCGAAGGGGAACAATGGTGGTTGTTGGGAAACATGTTTTCTCATTTATTTATTTATTTTAAATATGTTTTACATTTTTGCTTATTGTGGTTTAGTGGGAACTCCCCACTGAACTGTTAAAACTGAGTAATTTAGTTTGTTGCTCCCCTTCCAACGTCAACCAAGGGGAGTCTTCCTGGTCACATCTGAGTTCGGGAGTCCAATGTAACGGGCGGACAAAATCGCGGTTGGATGCGGGTTACACCAACATTTGGAGGGAAACCAATGTAACCCCACATCTGAAGGCACAAACAGATGTGGTGATGTGGGGGTCGGCCCTGAATCCCACCTATGGTATCTACAATGGATAACTCACCGCACAAAGGGGATGGAGCATGTCGTTTCAGACGCCCTAGGCACATTCGCAGGGGTGATTTATGTGGTCAACCAGCCTCAGGATGGGTGTCCCCCATTTGCTTCAAGGGCGACAGGCAAGACTTGTAGGATGCTTGGTTTTGGAACCAGCGAACCATCCGGTTCTGGCGGCGTTTTTATTGGTTTCTAGCTGGTTCAGTGGTTGCGATCGCTTTTGTTCCATGCACAAAACCCCCCAAAAATCAGCAAGAGTGACTGAAAAAAGAGTTACTTTCTTAGCGCAGTCATGTCTTTTACTCTGTTTCATGCTAACAAACTGCCTGCTATAATTCTTGTGCACCAGCACAATGCTTTAAGGTGGCTTAGCCTTTTTTTTCTCCGGGCTTACCTCCAAAATCCTCCAAATAGGGATGAGTCTCCCCCCCCCCCCGCTCGCTTTTCCCTTGAAAACACTGCGAAGGACAACCAAGCATCCTTTTATCGGCACCCAACAAGTGAGAACTTACCGAAAATGGACACGCGGTGTGCTTTCTTGGCGAGTTCGTTCACGCTTACCTCAACAGGTGCTGGTGCCTTTTGAGCCCTGTGAGCTCGGGAAGTACCCCTTGTCCATACCCCCAGCCCACTTAAAAGAAGGGGTATGTACCCCCTTTTTTGGTTCCAAAAGGGTGTTTCTCTTTGGGAACCTTTTGTGGTTGCCATTTTTGTGTCTGGTGCAATCAATTGGTGCTGGAGTGCCCCACCGCTGGATTCCCGCGAGGACGCGGAGAACGAGGGCCGTGTACAGGAGGCCCTGGACGACTTGGTGCACTCGGTGCACGGGAGCTGCTCGGTGGTGCTCATCGCGCACCGCTTGTCCACCGTGATGGGCGCCTCGGTCGAGACGCGGGTCTTGCGAGACGCGAGACGCGAGACGAGACACGTCTCGATGGGGCTGGGTTCTGGTGGGGTGGGTTTCAAGGGACACCGAAATCCATCCTCGTGGGGTACCTGGACAATGAAATGCCGCCGTCGTTCGCCTCCCCTTTTTTTCCTTCCTTTAAAAAATATCTAAAAAACTTCCAGATCCTCATGTTGACACAATTTCAAATGGTGGTTGGGGTGGTTGGATGGGGTGGGGTGGGTTGGGCTTGGAACCCCGGCACGGCATCAGACACTTCGGAGTTCGCCCAACCAAAACCCAGAAGATGAGAAAGGCCCTTGCTGGTATCCTCAATTTCCCTTTTTGGATCCAAAAGTGGCCATCGTTTCCGTGTCGTTTCCGTGGACACCAGTGAATTGATCAACTTTTAAAGGGGAAACCTGTCGTATCCCCTACAAGTTGGCACACCCCTGGGAAGACGATTGAACAAATGAAAAGGTGCTGCTCTCGCAGGAGTTCTTGGGAGGTCCAAACCGGGCAGGGTGAAAAGCATATGAAAAGATGAGATTTGGGTGCTGCATCTTTTGCCGAAAACCCCATCTTTGCGGAAGGGGCAGTAGCGCTGCCAGTGACGCTTAGCAGAGGTCGCACAGCTTCGGCAACCCCCCATTTTCCCCCATTTTCCCCATTTTGGGTTCGCCTGGAAAAGAATGGCCGCTTCTCTGAACATATCTTCTGAATATTGCCTTGAACTCTCCTTACCTCGGCCTCTTCAACCCTTTGGTCCGTTTCCGACGAGGGATCCAGAGCCGAAGTTTCTCGGACTCGCATCCAGGTGACGGTAGCTAGTGCCCTGCATGGTAAGATCCCGCCATGTGAATGACGTCCACCAAAGAGCGCTGCATAAAAACATTATTTTCGGCACGGAAGGAATCCAACCAGGGAATTGATGTCCAGGGCTCGGTTGAATAACCCAAAGTTTGGAGACGCACTCATATCAGGTTGGTTCCTCCCCCAGCGCATTCCCCGCATAATGGCGGTCATCATGGCGGTGGGCGGAGAGGAGGTGATGTCCGCTGAGCAGTTTGCTCGATGGGCGGAGGAGTCCGCGTCTGCGGCCGCCGAGCGGTCCTTCCTGGACGAGTTGCGACGCGAGGTGGCCCAGAGGAGGAAGTGGCCCAATTTCCGGCAGCTCCAAGTGATCAGCGGGGACGCCGTGCTGGAGCCCGAGGGCGTGTGGGATGGCCGGCAGTTGTCTGTGATCGTGCGACCCTTCATGGCTTCGGAGGCAGTGCAAAAGAAGGAGCTCTTTGAGGCGGCCCAGCGGGGCGACCGGACTCAGCTTGTGCGGCTGCTGGAGATTCCCATGGATCCGTCCAGCGCGAAAGCTTACTGCCAGGACACGCCTCTGCATCTGGCAGCCGCGAATGGCCATCACGCAGTTGTAGCTTGCTTGCTGGAAGCCGGCGCTGACAAGGACAAGGCTGGCCCATTTGGACGCACGCCTCTGCATGTTGCGGCCGCTTGGGGCCGAAAGGAGGTGGTGCGCTGTTTGCTGGAAGCAGACGCTGACAAGGACAAGGCCAGCAACAAGGGGCGTACGCCTCTACATATGGCTGCTGATCATGGACATTGGCAGGTGACTCTTTGCTTGCTAGAAGCCGGCGCCGACAAAGACAAGGCCGACAAAGCTGGCTGGACCGCTTTGCTCTTTGCGGCCTCGTCTGGCCATGAGGCTGTCGTGCGTTGCTTGCTGGCGGCTGGTGCCGAGAAGGACAAGGCGGACTATTTGAAGTGCACGCCTCTGCATGCCGCTGTCTTCTACGACTGTCAGGAAGTGGCGCGTTGCCTGCTGAGGGCCGACGCTGACGCGAACAGGATCGACACAAGTGGGCGGACGCCTTTGCAGCTTGCTTCCGGCTGTGGTCACGAGGAAGTGGTGTGTCACTTGCTACAAGTGGGCGCTGACAAGGACCAGGCGGACAATCAGAAGTGCTCGCCTTTGCATGCTGCTGCCTTACATGGCCATCACCGGGTGGTGCGTCACTTGCTGGACGCTGGCGCTGACAAGAACAAGCTCGATGGGTCCGGGCGCACGCCTCTGCAGCTTGCCGCTTTGGGCGGGCATCAGGCGGTTGAGGATATCCTGGCGGCTGAGTCTGCGAAGCGGGCCAGGCTGACCCGCCTTTGAAGAGACCGTTTCGCGCGTCGAAGATGTGCAGGGGTTCCGAAAGAGGACTAGGTCCCCCAGTAGTGCCCTTTTACCCCCTTTTTTGGGAGGCGGGTTCCCCTACTAAAATAGACTACAGGAAAAAGTTGGTACCCTTATTCTAACCTCTCTACTGGAGAACCTAGAGGAGGCATCCAGGGGCGTTTCCTTTGCACACCGGTCCAAAAGTGGTCGGGCGCGAACCTTAGGACATCCCCAAATCCGCTTGCCATGAATCATGGACTCCGGCGGCGAAAACGGCTGGAATGAGCTCGGTGGAAAGGACCCATGTAGTGAGTTTGTCTTCTTTCGGAGGGGTACCCTTTTAGGGTTGTTTGGAAAAGACACGGAAGGGCAACCGCCGTTTTTGTTGTTGTTGTAATTTTATGGGTGAAGCAGCGCACTTGGAGACTCTGTGTCTGGGGTCTAGGGAGCCCTCGGTGGTTTGGTCCCCTTTCAAGACGGGTTGGTTAATTTTTCCTCTGCTTGCGGACCCTATTGACCACCGCAAGCGCTCGGCAGCCCCAAGTCTTTGGGGCTTGACGCTCGCTTGCGCAAAGCGCCAGAGACGCTTGAAGTTGCAAACTTCCTGGATCCGAGTTTCGAACATTTTTGGACATTCAGCCAGTCGTCCAAGAGATTTGGCCGGTCTCACAGTCGCTGGCTCAAGGTCTTGCCACTTTCTCATTTTGAGCCTTGGCCCAAACAAGTATAACAACTGGACGGACCCGTCTGTTTCCAGGCAAAGCCCTTTGGACATCTCGTCTTTTGGCGTCGGTTGCATGGGCCGATTCAGGGTGGCACAATGGACTTCAAATGGCCAAGCCAGGCTTTCTTTGATCTACCTGGGACGAAGTAGTGTGCCTGCACGCTCAAAATTCCAGAATTGCAGGGGGACATCCCCGTTTTAGTTTTTTTTTTTGGGGGGGTAGTTTGAAGGTCCCGGTACACTTGTACAGGGATTTTGCTCGGCTATCAAGGTTGTTTATCAGCAGAATGCCAAAGAGTCATTGTGTGAAGCCAGAAACATGCCGAGTGGGTCTTACCAGTTGTTGTGCTATTTTGCTTTCAAAGCGCAACACACACACACACACACGCACACGCACACGCACACGCACACGCACACGCACACGCACACGCACACGCGCACACACACACACACACACACACACACACACACACACACACACACACACACACACACACACACACACACACACACACACACACACACACACACACACACACACACACACACACACACACACACACACACACACACACACACACACACACACACACACACACACACACACACACACACACACACACACACACACACACACACACACACACACACACACACACACACACACACACACACACACACACACACACACACACACACACACACACACACACACACACACACACACACACACACACACACACACACACACACACACACACACACACACACACACACACACACACACACACACACACACACACACACACACACACACACACACACACACACACACACACACACACACACACACACACACACACACACACACACACACACACACACACACACACACACACACACACAC